GATTGATGGAAACAGGGGAAGGGTGTAAGGAGAGGGAAATATATTGTTAATTGCAAGGTGACAGATGAAAACTAGAGTATGCTGCAGTGTATAAAGATACTGATTAATGTCATAAACCATTACTTCATAAAATTATATGCAGAGGAGAAACAATTATATTACAGTGCTATGGTGCTCATATTAACTGATGGGTGGAGAGTTCACCATGATAACTATTCTTGTTAAAGTCTCCCCTTAGACTGCTTAAGGACTCTCGGTTGTGAGCTAACATGTCTGAAAATTCCAAGAGGCCCACTTCCCTGGAGCCTCATCATTCTGAAAAACAGCCTTTAAAAGATTTTTTATAAATCCACTGTATCAGGTCAATTCATCCAGCAACAATACTACTCAAATAGGGAACACCAATGTGTCTGCTGTGGAAAAGTCTGGTAGCCCTCAATGCTAATCAGCAAAATCTCAAGTACTACACCAAACATCCTTAGTTTGCCTTACTAACCCACTATTCTTGTAAAGGATATGTCTTATCTATATATTTCTTGAATGCATTTCTTTTAACATATTTTTAGTAATCCAAGAAAAGTATTATAAACATTTGGAAAGTAGAAAGCATAAAACCACGCAAAATACTCTAATACAACTTCCGATCATATTTTTTAACTAATGTGTATAACAAATACGGTAAAGTATGCCTGCAAGCCAGACACAGTGCTCGATGAGTTTCTAGACACGTGGATCTGCGTCACCACTAAACAGACAGGACAGCACATTCCAGCACCCCAGCTCAGAGTCATGACATGACCACTGTCCTGATGTGTCATCAGATACTAGTTTTCCCTCTATTTGGAACATCATATAAATGGAGTTATATAGAATATACAGTTGATGTCTTTTTTTTTTTTTTCCCAAAAACATACCTGTGAGGTTCATCCAAATATTTATTGGCACTTTGTTTACATTGCTACATAGCTGCCCAGAAACTGGTGCCAAAGCTGGCCAGTGATCCCTGGAGGTGGCAGACCTAGGCACCCTCTTCAGTCGGACACAGGACATTTACAGTGACCTGAATTCAACTTTCCCTTCTGGGGAATTAGCTGTGAGTTACTCCTAAGAGCAGGTTGTGGTAATAAAAGTAGCGAAGGATAAAAGAAAGCTGGAGTAGCTGCGTTAGCCTGAGCTGCTGTTTACATGGCCATAGCTGCTACTTCCAGCACTTTCCACTACTCTGGTTAAGCCCCATCACCTGAGAGGAGCTAAGGGTCTCAGTTCCCTGAATGCACCCAAAACATCCCGATTTTCCTGCCCCCACCCTCTTCACCTCATCCTAAATCTCCAATAGATGGGGCATGAGTTCTCAGAGTCTCTTCCCTTCGTAGCTCTGCGGCTAATGCCTATTTGTCTGGTCTGGTGGAAATCTCTTAACCATGCAGTTGAGTGTGCTGGAGACTGGGAACTTCCAGGCTCTGCCTTGTAGAATGTGCGCATTTGAGCTCTGTCCTCAGTCCTGGGCTCTTTCCCTGACCATCTGATTCTCTAAGCCCTGAACATCCCCCAGGTACTTAACATCTTCATTGTAACAACAACATAAGGTAATTATCAGTTATATTCCTCTGAGCATAGTTAACCCTGAAATAATTTTTTTTAATGTACACAAACCAGGAAGGGCAAGGTAGAGACCTCCTTCACTAGTCACAGGAAACCCTAACATCTGAAGCCTAGAAGGCCTAACCCCACCTTACCTGGAGTTCCTGAAGTGCTGTGTCCAAGATCATGGCTCCGTCAACAGCTGAGCTGGGAGCAAGCCGTGCCCGACGCTGACGCTGGCTGCAGACAGGTGGTATCCCCGGCACTCCATGACCCCCACTCCAAAGATCAAGTTCCAAAAAGAATGGCGCTTTGTCGCTTTCTGTTATAGTCCTGTAAGTTCCCTGGGTTCATCCATTGACCTTCCAGGATGCTTTTTACCAGGTTGGGTGATCATTTCAAAGCAAGCATCTTCAGTTGCAACCGTTTCTGCTGTTGACATTTTCACAGGATAGCTTAACAGGCAGTGAGGCAGTTTTGCTGTAAAAAAAGAACAAAAAGGGACATCTGAAAAGACATCAAAAAACATGAAAAGTAACAAAGATAAAATACAAAATTTATAGTATATTTTTATTTTTTTATATAATAGTTTATTTTTACATCATTTTGTACTTTTTTTCATCTCAATTGTAATCCCCGTGGTATAGTATATTTTTAAATAGATGTAGACTCAAGGCAAAAATGAACGAAGAACTTTTATGCAATGTATCTTAGCACG